CTTTTTGTCCAAGTACCAAGGTGTATTTCATTTACACCTACTCAGTGCTGTGGATAGGGCCCTATTTGAACTTCATAACAAAACTAGTAGGTATTATTATTATTATTGCTATTTTACAGAAGAAACTGAAGATGACAGAGGTCAAGTGACTCATCTAAAATGACCGAACGGGAATGGGGCAAAGAGAAAACAAAACTCAGGTTTCTCAGATATTACTTCTATAAACTTTCTCTCAATATTCACAGTATTTTCAGATAATAATATAAATCCAAAACAGATACGATTTCTACACTTGTAGATAAAAGTAACTTTATAAACTTGCTATAAGCCATTTCATTTGTATGATAGAATAGTATAGGTACTCTATGTAAACTAATTTCACTTAATCCATTACTCACAAAAATTAATTCTGCTAAGTTTGATGAGTTAATACTTAGTCTCAAATGACAACTGGTTCAAATAAAGTATTAGTGTTTCCTCTTTTATGGTTCAAACATAATTGGTAGAGATCATGAGAAAGAAAATTTTCTTTTGACCTTCAAGTTATGTGAAGGACTTTTATCCATGATCTATTTTCTACATGGAAAAATAAATTATGGCTAGTAATTCTACACACGCACACACACCCTCCATAGAGTTTTGGGGAAATCTGGCTTTATACATACCCATTTCAAGTATTTATTAGCTTTTTAAAATTCATACCTTTAACTTAATACTTAAAAGCAAATCCATCAAGTATGTGGAAAAATTCATTAATACTTTAAAGCCAAGAAAGCCAAAAAGCAGAAGGATAAAAGTTCTACTAAATGATATAATTTGGGGGAAGCTAAGAAATTTTTAATAAAACTGCTTTGCTATAATTCTCACTTATGGACCATAGATCCATAAAATAAATACACAAAACTCCAATAGAATTGGCATTATAAAACAAAATTCAATACTTACATTAAAATCTAACCTTATTAGAGTGTTACTGGATATATTTTAAAGAATATTTAACACATGGTAAACCAGAGCCCATGTAAAAATGAGCCATATTATAAAAGGTTCTAATATATTACATAGTATACACAGCAAAATGTCTCATTCAACCTAAAAAGAAATTGGTCACACCAATAACAACTCGGTCAGGAAGGAAACGCTATCTGTACTTATGGGATACAAAAGATTGTAAGGTGGACACAGCAAATGTATGGTCAGTTTTATCTAGACTGGTGTTTGGAAAAAAGTAAATAAATTGTGCTTTAAAAAAATGGAACGATTTGCTCCAGTGAAGTAAAAGCTCAATTAAATATTAGTGACAATTAAATATTAGTGACAATTCACCCAAAATTCAGGGCAGAAATTCATCTTTCCATAATCTATAAAAGTCAGACTGCTTTTTGGGCTTCCACAGTACTACTCACATGTAAATAGGTCTATTAACAAAAAGGATGGTGTCTTAGGCAATCTGTTTGCCTGGCTGCTACCAAATATTCATAAAAACAATAAGACTAAAATCATTAAAAACTATTTAATTCAGAATATTTAATAACTCAGACTAGCCTTTCCTATTGAGAACATAGTGAAATTTTGCTGTTCTTTCTTTCCTCCTGAAGAGAAAATGATCCCTTCTTTGAAATTTCTCCTTGTGATGATTTCTAGTATCACTCAAAAACCAATACTTCCTCAAGAATGCAGAATTCCTCTTTACGAATAAGATTATGAGGGTTTTTTACTGTTGTTGTTTTGTTTTGTCCTTTTCTCTTATTTTAACAAAGAAAGGCATTTAAATTACTTATTAAAATGCCCTTAATTTATTTGATGCTTTAGACATTTGGGAAACACATAACAGATGTGCTAGAAAACCCTAGGCTATTGGAGCCTTGAAAGCCAGAACAAAGTTTTATCAGATGATGAATTACCACAACATTTTTAACTACACTTCTTAAAAAAAGCAGTAAAACAAATTAAGTCAGCATTCATACCACTTGCTCCTGAAATTAACATATTTCAATAAATCTTTTCATAATTTCACATTAGCAGTTAGGCAGACAATATGTGTTTTACTGAAGAAATACTTCTAAGTGAGATGTTTCATTAGCGCCATACACTACGTGTGTTCTAAATCTGAGCTACTCCACATACCTGGTATGCCTTAACAACTCTAGAATTATCTCAAAATTCTACCCCACTCTCCTGTCTCCCAAAGTGATGGCATTCAATATTAAGATAAATTTTTGGTCTGCTAGATGAAAAGGCATTTATATTTAAGAGAAATACTCCTCAGGGTCAATCTAACATTCCCATAAAGGGCTCTCAAATTCCAATTCAAGAAACACTAAACCAGAGGACTTCAGAGTACAAATCAAATAATCAAAACCTACATATTATACGTAAAAATACTACTACTGTCAAAAATGTATTATGTCAAGAATTTTATCAGCAGCATTTAAAAAATAAGAAATCATTAGACAATAAAAGACAAACATGGTAACAGATTCAGATCAGCACACAATATACCATTTCTTATCACATTATGTTACCTAAATCCCTGGCAGTTTCCTAGAGATACCCTATCTTATCAAAAATTATTCGTCTCAAGGGATGTGGGGAACAACCTCTCCATTCTCCCGAAGTTGAGAACACACACCTGGTTCTACTTTCTTCCAGTAGCATTACGTTTGTATACTATTCTATAAGAAGCAAGTCAACTCCATGTTATAAAGCACCATAGAGTATTTCATCCTGTACAAAGGAAATAACTCCGAAAATTTTTACAATAGGATTCCTGGGAAGGCACTTAAAGCTAACTGGTCAAAAAAAGAGCCACAACAGTTAGATTTTTCTTTTATACTGAAGGCTCCTTAATATTGTCTTCTTTGTTTTTATCACTTAACATCTTGATCATAAGTTTCCCAATAAATCAAATGCTGTCCAAAATTAAGAAAGGAAAGACAAGAGCAGACACAGTCCACACCCTGACTGACGAATTAGGCAGAGTAAATTTGCTTCCAAAGTAGGCAAATGTTATGACTTTAATAAGGTAAGAGAAATAGAGCAAGAGAGTAAAGCAGGAATGGCCAGGGTTGGATCGGACTGCTGAACAAAAAACAAAGAAAGTAAATTTCATTTTCAGACTCAAAAAATCTTAAAAGTATCTTTGGAAAAGTAAGCAAACATGGGTCTGAACTGTGCAGGTCCGCTTATATGCAGATTTTTTTTTTTTTCCAACCAAATACAGACTGAAAATAAAGTATTTGGGGGATGTGAAACTCATGCATATAGTGAGCTGACTTTTCATATAGGCAGGTCCTGTAGGGCTGACTGTGGGACTTGAGTATGCACAGATTGGGTATATGTGGGGGTCCTGATACCACTCCCCTGCATATGCTGAGGGATAACTATATTTTCGTGTATTTTATTTTTTTAAAGGTCATCTATAAGTTTTGAGTGTTTCTTATTTTACTAAAATATTGAAGATGATAAACATATTACCATTTGTCCAGGCTACAAACTGACAACTAAGATACCACTTAAATTATAGGTTTTGGAATTAAAAAAAAATGGACAATATTCTTCAAGTTCAGAAGTTATGCCTTGGAGAGCAGAGTCAATAAAGTTATAAACTCAAAAGTCTAAAAATTTAAATGCTTTCCTTATAATAAATTTGATATTAAAACATCACTAAATCATAACACCATTGGTATGCTCAGTTCTAATAATTCAGCAATGCTAATACTTAACAGATGCATTCCAGGAAAATTTTTGTTTTCTATGACATTTAGGAAAATATTGTTTCCTACTAATGTATCAGTGTTTTATAAAACTATACAAAGTAATCTTATTAAGAAGGCAAGTATTAATAAAATATTGGCAATCATTTTCTCTCTGCTCATTAACCAAAAAAGCAAACAATAAGCAGCTTTAAAATGCCATTCTTCCTTAAGTAATCAATACTGAAAAATCGCTCATTAAACAAATTCACCATCAAAAGTCAGTTTCACAATAGAAACCTGCTTATGGAAAAATAATCTATTTATTTCTCTCCATTCACACAGTGATATTAGGAATCTTATTTAAGATGTGACTGTGAACAAAGTTTTTCATTACCACTGGCATAATGGATGGCTTGAAAAGAAATGTACCAACAGGCCTGCTGTTAGTCCAAAAGGTGCCTTTTAATGCAAATTAGGAAAGGCTGCCATTTCCTTAAGATACTTTATTGCCAACAGTCAGAAAACTGTGATAATTAATAGCAATGCTGAGACACTACCAGTGTAAATGGCTCCACTGAGGTGGGCATAATTATACCCAGAGTTCTCTCGTGGTTTCTTCTCTATTATCTTTTTTTCCTATGTGTATCTTAACTAAATCCACATGAGAACTAAAGTTCTCTTAAGGCAAAAAAAAGTGCCCTCAACAAAACTCCCTATATAATGACAGTTAAAAGTATCACAAATATGCCGCTAGTAACAATGATACAATTTCAATAGTAGTCCTAATTCTCTCACGAAGCTGTCTGATTTTGAAGCCATTCATATATCTTGCTATTTCAAATACAAACAGAACTTTTTAACTGACAAAAGTACAGAAAACTTAAAATTCACATTAAAAAATATACACACAATGTTCATATATGCTTATTGACAATGCCATTTAATGGTCAGAAAACAAATTAACTGGACATAATCTTTCCAATTTTAAACTCTTCAGATAAGATATATGCATAAGACCTTGGCAGCTTTTACAGAAACCCAGAGCTGAAAGTAGGGGCACTTCCAATACCTAAAAATGTTTATTAGCTGCATCAGAAAATCATTATCCTAGAAGTCAAGGCCAATATTCTTCTTAATTGTGCAGAGATGAATATAATAAGCCATACCATCAGCAGACTACTTTGCCAAATACGAAGATTGTTTAAAATCTTTAAAATTCCACAAATTCATGGTGAATTAGAACCTCGGAAATTCAAGAATTCAAATTTACAAAAATAAATACCAGTCTGACACTCAAGGGACATCTTCACTTTAAGGCCTTTGTCACAAATCTGAATCTTTATTGTTCTGAAATAAATGTTATAAACATAACTAGAAACAAAAAACTTCAATATTCAGTCTAAGAAGAGGTGTGGCTCAATGCCCATCACATGTAACAAGAAAACCTCCTTTAAAAAAAGGAAAAAAAGTACTATGAGAAGTCTTTCATATGAATGAAAATGCACCCTTTAGATTTTTCTCCCTCATCTCATTAGCTTGTACACACATGGGAATCAAAAGGTTTGCACTTTCTTCACAATAGTTCTTGCTATGATGTTTGACGGACTTTTTGCCACTCAACAAATTCATCAAGAAGAACAGGCCCTAGAAATAAACAAACAATTTTTGTTAGAATTCAGTGAACTCATCTTTCCAACCACAAAACAAATTCCTCACAAGCTCAGTGGTGATAGGGGCCTGACTCGTCCCTTCTCCAGGTGTTTTACTTCCAGCCACCCTCTTCCATTTAATGATACTTTCTTATTAACCTTTTCTTTTTCACCCTTAGAGACATAAAGGACCTTCCACAAGGGGTAGCTGTAGCAACTTCCTTCTCAGGATGTGTTTCCTGAATCCTCCAATAACTTAGCCAATACTAACCTCTCCCTTTTTCTAAGTGCCCATGGCATTTTGGCATCTAATTATTAAACAATCTGAAAAGTGTTTAAGGTAGTATTTCTATGTTACCTCCCCAAGAAGTGTGTAAGCTTGTTGGGGATTAGGCCATAAGAGACTTACTTTATTCCAGCAACAGGATGTAGTACAAAGCTGAACACAAAGCCAAGTGCCTAATGAATACTTTACTAATGAGCTAAGTACTACTCTAAAAAAGATATTTATATTAATGCAGGCGAGGTCCAAACTCATTACCTACAGAAGCCAGGTAGGTAAATGAGCTCAGTGTTTATTTTATTTAAACATAGGAAAAATCATTGCCACAAAGAAATATGCTTGCCCTGTTTTTCTTAAAACACATAATCTTCTGGTGGTCTCTTTTTTTCTTCTTGCTTTTGACAGACATATTTCTCTACTGTAAGAAAAGCAGCAGAGCAAGTACAATAATAAGTGGCAACTGAAAACAGCCTAGGAGGTGCTGGCATACAGTGGACTGTCAAACTGGAAAGCAAGTTCGACACAGCCACTATCTGGCTCCAGCCTCTGATTCCTTTGAAGAAGCACAGACGCAATTGTGTCAGATTTTCTGATGTTTTTAACAAAGCTAAAAGTTGTATTTTTATACAAAATTTCCCAGTTTTAAATGTTGGTTCAAGATACATGAATATACACATCTGAAGGCCATATACAGCCCTTGGGCTGCCAGTTTACTGCTGCTAGGTATTATTTCTTTAAAATAATATTAAATGTTATACTTTCTTGTAGAGGGAGGACACAATATACACAAGTAGAAATAGTTATCCCTTCCTAAGTCTTTTATTTCTTCAGTGTCACTGAAATAGGTGCATCATTTCAGTTTAAGCATATAGAAAATGTACCTTTCCATGTACCTTTCCGAACATTAAAACAATACATGCAGCCAAAATGGTGGTAGGAACTGAAAACATAATTTATGGTTCTAGTGAATTTGGCTTGCCTAATTAATTTATCATTACTTCAAAATTCTGTTTTATGGCATTCTAGCCTTCCCACTGAGGAGAAAGGACAGATATTTTAACTCGAAGGATTGAAAAATTGTAAATATTTCACTACCAGTTTACTCAGATCAATTTATAATTTTCAGAGAAGTTATTTTGACATTATTTGCCATATTGTTTATGATATTAACTTTAAAGCTTTTTCTGTTGTAGCTGACTGTTTTGCTTTCATATTTTTAGAATAATGACTGCACCTTTCTTCCACAGGAAAATGTCAGGAAAGACAGGAATAAAGCAGAATTGTACTTTCTAGATGCAGAAATTATAATTTAAACTTAGCAATGTTTGGTTACTGAGGAATTGAAAACATTTCATTTACCAACATAGAACTTATAATACTGCAGACTCTAAACTCTCTACCTCTCCTACATCCCCTCATATGATTAAATAATAAAAGTTACTGTTGAAAAGCTTAAAATTATATGCTAACGTTGCACAAATATATACTCTCATTTAATATTTTTAGATATTGTATTTTCATAGGAACACTTTATATTATACTTACAAGCACCATCTTCATCGTAGTTACTAAGATCGGCATGAACTGTTCTGCTAAATTCTAATACATTGTACCACTGATCTTTGTTCATAACACGATACTTCGATTGCTGTGGAAAATGATTTAAATATTTGGATTACAGAACCAACATTACTTTTTAGGGCTTGACTTTAGTAAATTTAGTTATAACTTTTTTTGTGATTTGGTTTTTCCCAAAGCATTCATTCTTGTTTTAATTAAATTATTTGCACTTCTAAGAGATTTCTGAAGGGTATTAACATCACAGATTTCTTTCCTTTATTTTGCTTTCATTTTTGAGGAATAGTAAGAGCATCAAGGGTACTAATAGTAAGGATAAAACTCAGTGAATTTTTACATTTGTATATACTTGCGTAACCACCAAGATCACGAAATATAATATTTCCTACATCAAGTTCCCTTGTGCTGCTTCCTAGCAAATCATTTCTTTGCATAAAATTTACTATTCAGCCACATTTTGAGGATGGTATCTTTGGAGGCAGTGGGAAGAGTACAGGCTTGGGTTCAAATCCCATCTCTGCCACTTAACTGACTGACCTTGTTACATAAGAACAGAACACATTTCTCATTTGCTAAATGGGGATAAAACTTAATTCAAAATTGTGTTATAAAGATAAAAAAAAAATTTACACCAAACAGCCTGCACATAACAAGTGTTTGAAAATATTTAGTTGTTCTTCTCAGCTCCCCATAGAACGGAATATTTTATATTAATATTAT